TAACAATAAATTGATTGTAAATAAACTAAATAACAATCAGCAGTAAGTTATTCCTTTGCTAATAATGTGTAAATGCATCATATTTAACATTTCAATTCTTTGAACACAGGTTTATAAAGCAGTCTTTAATAGTTAGGACGACTATGAATACAGTTGGGATGTAGGGAACAGGCACTGGGGCATGTTTCTGTCATTTTTGTTATTATTATTTTAATTGTTTGAATTATCTTTCTTTTAGCCATCTAATTTTAAACATTTATATATTAGTTTTTGAGACTGATAATTGATCCACATAGATATGAATATAAAGTTGCAATATGCTTATTTGTTTACTATGCTCTTATCATAATCTGAATTTGCCACTATATGTATACATTAATATATACAAAGTTATTTGAAAATTGAAGATATGTCCTCATAACTAATTAAAACATGCATAATAGTATAAACAATTTGTAAAATTTAAATTTGTAAGATTTATTTTAAAATAATTTTTTAAATAAAAGTATTTTTTTTAAATATTTTTATTTTAGATGCATTTTTGATCATCTCATATGTGTTATTTTTGTGTTTTCTTTTTAAATTAAACAAATAACTTCCATACTTTTTAAAATGATAACTTTTGATGTTTTTGGTGTCTAAAAATTATCAGAAACATACGCAATAAATAAAGTTTAATTCATTTCAATTATATTTTTTGTTGACTATAGAAATTAAATTAAAGAAGGATAAAAATATTTACTCAGAATTATTTAGCTCTTCTATTCCACTTAATTGGAATCTGAAGTTGAATTAATAAAAAAACTTAAATATTCTTAATATGTCATTTGCTATATAAATATTCCAGAACTTAATTTTTCATGGTTACAACACACTGAACAAGGTTTTTTCAGTTTTCAATAGTGATTAATTGAACTGCTTGTTTTGTTAGTTTTTCGATATCACATAATTTAAATGATTATTATTTTGATCCACAAATTCTTAATCTGACTTCATTACAATGGGTTTAACTGACAATGATATGGGGAATCCTTGAAATGCAGTGTTTATATTTTTCTACCATTTTATCAATTTTATATTTATCATGTAAATGTTTAACTGAGTTTATCACACTAATAAATCTGATTTCAGCGTGTTGTTCTGATTTGTAATATTTTTAACTGCTGTTGTTAATTGGTTATAAGCTTTCTTCCAAGATATTGTTCTGTTTTAACACTATGACAAGAAGTATTGCTCATAACAATAACATTTTTTTCAAGCTTAAAAACATTTGGAAGTTCACAAGTACAATTACAGTTTTTGTTGTTCAGAGGAGGATATAATCACTGATTCAAAGATGATAACATTTAGGAAGACTTTATAAAATTTATTAAAACAGGAGTATTTTAATAGTTTTCCTCAAACTTTTTGTGAATCGGTAGTTTAAAATTTTTATTGAGCCTGTCTTGAATGCATAAATACATTGTGAATGCAATAATTACAATAATTATAATTAATTACAACTAACATCTTATCTCATTCATGATTGTTGTTCAATATTATGTAATATGATAGTTAATTTAAATAATTGTTTAAAATAACAAATATATTTTATTAGAAATTTATTATTTTGTGTTATTTTGTATTTTTATTTTTAAGTTCAGACTAGTGTTTTTCCCCCTCCCCACAGTTGTAAGTAGCAAATTATAGATCACACTTTGGAAAATGTTTAATGTATCTTAAATTTATTTCTTACTATTAAAAAAGAAATTATTATTTAAAAAGGATTTTTTTTAATGAGAAAATTTACAGTTGAATAGGTTTAAATATGTTTTGTAAATTTCAAATAATAATTACTCTTGAAAGTCATTGTGTGTGGGTGTGGGTGGGTGGGTTTTTTTTCCCATTAAGCTGAAATAGCTTTTTTCCATTAATTTTAGATAGACAAGAAGCTATTACAAAAGTAATAATATGATTATTTTTATAATGGAAATTTTCTCTTGGAAAACTATAAATCTTATGAAAGAATATTTTTCTTTTTTATTGTTGTTTATATAAATATAAAATTCAAAAGCAGAATATTTAGCAAATAAATATTGCAATAAATCTATATTTATTCATTACAGATATTTGTAATATAATTCACAAAAGCTCATCACAATATAATTATTTAATTTATTAATTATGATATTTAAAATAAATTTTAATTATACTGTACAATGTATTTTTTAGTGAAAGAGCAGATGTGACTGGTGCAACAGGTCAAAGACTCAAAGAAGGAGGTCATATTAACAAATCACTAGTTACCTTAGGAACAGTTATTTCTGCCCTTGGTTAGTTAATTTTATAAATAATTGAATCAAACATTTTATTATATTAATTTTGTACAAAATATTTTTTTAGCTGATATGTCAAGTACNACAAAATATTTTTTTAGCTGATATGTCAAGTACTCAAACAAAGAAAACAATTTTTATTCCCTATCGAGATTCAGTTTTAACTTGGTTATTAAAAGACAGTTTAGGTGGCAATTCCAAAACAATTATGATAGCAGGTAATAATAGATTTATAATGGCTATAGTTGATATTAATAGCAAGACATAAATTTTTAAAAAAATTTACTTCTATAGCTATTTCACCAGCTGAATGCAATTATGGTGAAACTTTGAGTACTTTAAGATATGCTAACAGAGCTAAGAATATCATTAATAAACCCACAATTAACGAAGTAAGATTTTTTTTTATAATATAAATACACTTAGAATATTTTTATTTTTAATATACAATTAGATTAAGATTTTTACAATTTGTGAGAGATATATTTATTTAGGATCCAAATGTTAAACTAATCCGTGAACTTCGCAATGAAATTGCTCACTTAAAATCTCTTCTTGGAGATAGTGTAAGTTCGTTGTTTTATTGCATTTCTGTATGAATAAATAATAACAAATTTTAATTAAGAAAATTATTATCTTCAGATTAATTCATCTCCTATGATGATAGAAAAATTACATGAAAATGAAGCAAGAGTGAGTAATAAAATTTTTATTGTTTAGCTACTATTTATTAGTTTGATATTTATATATTATCTCATTCCATAATACTATATATATAGTGTTTATTATAATATATAAAACGTTAAAAATTACTTTTTATGTAGGTAAAAGTATTAACGGAAGAATGGACGGAAAGATGGAAAGAAACACACAAAATTCTTAAAGTAAATATTTTAAAAAATATACTTATAAATTTTATTTTTACATTATATTAATTTTTCAAAATTAAATGGAAATGTTTTTACCATAGGAGCAAAGAACATTAGGGCTTCGAAAATCTGGACAAGGAGTGGTGTTAGATTCTGAATTACCTCATCTTATTGGTATTGATGATGATGTACTAAGTACAGGCATAACGCTTTATCATTTAAAGGTTAATTGTAATAAATAAATTCTTTTTATTTACAAAACATATTATTAAATGTAAAAACACTTGTTCTGTAATAGGAAGGTACAACTTATATTGGAACAGAAAATTCATCAGGGAAAAAAGATATAGGTAAGTTTTCTGTTTTAGACATGTTGTGAAATTACTTTTTTTTTTTTTAATGTTTACAATTTTTTTTAGTATTGAATGGAGTTGGAATTGAAGATGATCATTGCATTATTGAATTACAAGATGGAAAAGCTACCTTAATACCATTAGGAAAATCTGAATGTTTTGTAAATACAATTTTAATAGATAAACCAACTCGTATATCTCAAGGTAAATATATATTAACGTTACTATTTAAAATATTGACCAAAAATAATACAATATATTTGAGGAGGCGCATTAGTGAAGCTTCTAAGTGGCTTACAGAATTGTGTTCATTCTCAAAATCTGTTTGATCGATTTTGATTAAATATTGCCATTTTCCATTAATTGTGATGAGAAATCCAAAAACATTTATAAGAAATGGGGGTTTATGACTTTGCATTTGAGATACAATGTCGTAGCACATATGTGTGTGACAAAGCAGTATTGTGTGAATTGCAAACAATGTTCCAAGGTCACTAGTGTGTCTTCTATTGACTTATAAAATTGAGTTTGTTCTCAAAATTTGATGGGCTGATTTTGATGAAGCTTTACCATTTTCCATTAATTGCAATGAGGAATCCAAAAATGTAATGAGAGTCCTTGACTTTTTTCAATATATAGCAGAGTCAAAGTGACAATGTCAGTGCTCCCTGACGATGGAGTGCCAAAATTCCGAACTTGTTATGTAGGCAAACTTATAAATTCATAGAAAATTGTCACACATGAGTATGAAAAATTATATTATAAAATATACATGCATCATATTAATAAAAGGTGACTTTATAATTTTTAAATTTGTAACATACTAATAAAAGATTTATCCAAAAGGTGTCATATTTAAGTTTGTTTCCATTCCAAATGCTCTAGCCACATATGTAGATACAAGGATTGTCTCTGTGCCTAATAAGTGCAAGGATCACTTCTTTCTTTCTAGCTCTGCCTCAATTCTATTGCAATATGATGAAGTTGCACAACGTCCTAGTTTATGTATTATACAGGATAATGCATAAAATATTTACAGATAGTCCCAGACTTATGACAGAGGTCTGTTTTTTAGGACTCGTCAAAGACAATATGTCAACAATATTACATTGCTGACATATTGTCTTTCACCTTCTTTCTTTTGTCATGTTTTTAATTTTTTTGCTATTGATTTTGAATTGTTCATTAATGTAAATCTTAATAAAATGAGGAAATGTAAAACAAGGCATTACTGTATTATTATTATTTTATAACAATTTCCTAATCGATTTGCCAATAAACACATTAGACATTTTGCTAATTAATAAACAATTAATTAATGTATAATTAATCACTATAGATTATAGGAATTTAATTAATTAAAAAT